TGGGCACGGAAAAGATGGGTACAATGCCCAACACCAAATGTCGTCGCAAACCGACAGCGGCCGCTGTTGGGCGGGCGGCCTTCTGTCTCAAGTGGGCACAGGCCGCGGCGGCGCGGACAGCGAGCCCTGTTCGGCATGAGCAGGAACTGCTGCTGGGCATTGTACTCCAGATTTCGTAATAAAAGGGAAGGGGTCTGGACCCTCCAAGACAAGCCATTTCAGACCTCCCCCGTGGGAGAGCCCTGCAAAACATCCCCCCAGGCCCTCCAAGATAGCCTGGAAGAGACCCCCCCCGAAATGAGACCCCCCTCCCTTTCTTACGAAATCTAGAGTACCCTTTCGTTCCCTACCCATGTCGTTCGTGCCGACTTGATAAGCCCTGCCGAGGGAAAGTGCACACGTCCGAGCAGTACCGAGCAACTGCGAAAAGGAGGAGGATGAGGAGGAGGAGGAGGACGGGGAGGAGGAGGGGGGAGGAAGAAGGCGGAGGAGGACGAGGAGGAGGAGGAGGAAGATGAGGAGGAAGGAGGATGAGGAGAGGAGAAGTAGGAGGGAGGAGGAGAGGAGGAGGAGGAGGAGGAAGAGAAGGAGGATGAGAGGAGGAGGAGGAGGAGGAGGAGGAGGGGGAGGAGGCATTGTACCCACTCGTTCCCTACCCATTTTCGCTCGTGCCGACCTGAGAAGCCCTGCCGAGGGAGAGTGCACACGTCCGAGCAGTACCGAGCAACCGCGCCGACCCTGGCCGGGCCTCCTCCTGCCGGGGCCCGGGAGCGGCGCGGGCACCCTCTCGGCGGGCCATCACGAGGGGAGGAGGAAGGAGGAGGGAGGAGGAGGGAGGAGGAGGAGGAGGAGGAGGAGGAGGAGGAGGAGGAGGAGGAGGAGGAGGAGGAGGAGGAGGAGGAGGAGAGAGCCGGTCCCGGGCCCGAGGTTGGGCTGGCCTGGGCCGGCGCAGGCGTGCACGTCGCGTCCCCCCCGCGACTCCTGCGTGCGCCCGTGAACGACCTTCAGCTCGACCCTGCTGAACCAGAGCCACTCCTTAAGGGGGGGGCACAGACATCGAACAGAGGATCGGCTGCATAGTGCATCTACCCCCCCCCCCAAAGTTGGATGCTCGTCGGATCTGCAACATGTGCGTCGAACGTTCGTAGATCTACGACGAACGTTCGGCGTACTTTTCCGTAGACCCGACGGACAAATCAACTCCGGGACAAATCAATTATCCCCTGCTCGGAAAAAAAACACAAGCAGAACGTCCGCGTCCGGCAGATTCCTCCGCCAGCGCCAGACCTCCTCCCCACGCACCCCAGGACGGTACCTCCTGCGCAGCCCCGGGTGCGAGAAGCGCGCTGGTGAAGAGTGGGGAGGAGGCTCGACGCTGGCGGAATTCTACCCTACGAGGACGTCCGACGTCCATGCGTATGTGTTTTGTCTGGCGCCCAATTCCTCTGACGCGTTGTTGGCATTCTGCGCTTGGTAGTGGAAGCCTCCTGCCTGTCTGTTCTCTGCCCAAGAGCCCGTAATAGCTACGTCTTGGAAGTACATATCCGCACAGGATCCACCCAATCGGCGCGCATCCGCCTCCACGCGAAGCAGCGTGTTCTCAGCACCCACGCCACGAGGGATGCTTATCATCACGTGCCTGCCCGGCTTCAGCAGATCGAACCGCTGTCCGTGAATGTTTGTCAGATGGGGATCGCCCACGGCAGCCACGGCCCCGGCCGAGGTGGTCATGGCTCCAGCCGCGGCAGCCACGGGTGCCCCGGCGGCGGAAACCGCGGAGGGTGCGAAGCCGGCGGAGGTGGTGCCCTTCGGCATCGGAGTCGGTGCAGGAGTGGCCATCGTCGGGGAAGGAGTGGCCTTCGTCGGGGCAGGTGTCGGCTGCATCGTCGGGGCAGGGGTGGCCTTCGTCGGAGCAGGCGTCGGCGTCTGGGTCGGTGCAGGAGTGGCCTTCGTGGGTGCAGGCGTGGCCTTCGTCGGGGCGGGCGTCGGCTTCGGCGTCGGGGCGGGCGTCGGCTTCAGCGTCGGGGCGGGAGTGGCCTTCGTCGGGGCAGGCGTCGGCTTCAGCGTCGGGGCGGGAGTGGCCTTCGTCGGGGCAGGCGTCGGTGCAGGAGTCGGAGCGGGAGATGGGGCAGGAGTGGGAGAAGCCGTGGGCCCGCCACCGCGCTCAAATGCGGCCAGTGCGTGTCGGGCCCCGTGGTCTCCCTCGATGTGGCTCCCTCCGCCCCAGCCGCGTCGCGGCCGCCATGGCCCCCCCTTCTCTCACACACCATCGGCTCCCAGGAGATTGGGCCCCTGGTTGGCTCGCTGAATAGAGATCGACCAGCACCGAATCGTGCCAGAGGTCTCTGCATGTCCTCAGAGGTATCTAGAGATGTCCAGAGCTAGCCGATGCCCTCAGAATGGCCAAAACATGACACAGCAATGCAAACCAGCGTGGACCCCGCACAGACAGTTATTGCAGTGTGGACGCGCAGGCTATGCGTTCAACCTTGTGGTCTACACTGGCGCACGCTATGTGCTGAGAGCTATGTGGTGTAAGCTATGTGGTGTCATCTGCGTGGTGCGATCTGCGTGGTGCAAGCTATGTGGTGCAGACTGTGGGGTGCAAACTGTGTGGTGCAAGGGTGCGTGGCGCCGGCCATGTGGTGCAAACTGCGCGGAGCAAACCGTGCTGTGCAGTCCGCGCCGCGCAGCCTGCGCGGTGCGGGCCGTGCAGCGCAGACGGCGTGGTGCCAGCCATGTGCTGCGCACACGCTGCAGCGCACGCACGGATGGTGCAGTCTGCGTGCTGCATCGCTGCGCGGCGCCAGCACACGAGGCCCCGGCGCGGGGCGGCGCCCACACGAGGCGGGCACCGGGCGAAACCTCGGCACGCCTGCCCTGCTCAGCGCGGGGGCGCGCCCGCGCGGCGTGCACCAGGCGACACCTCGGCACGGCTGCCCTCCAGCGTGGGGGCGCCCACAGGGCGCCCCCACGGGCGGGCGCTGCGGTGGGCCCAGGAGTGCACGGTTTCCCCCGGGGCCGTAGGCGAGCCGAGGAGGGGGAGGAGGAGGAGGAGGAGGAGGAAGGAGGAGGAGGGAGAGGAGGAGGAGGAGGAGGAGAGGAGGAGGAGGAGGAGGAGGAGTCGAGGAGGAGGAGGAGGAGGTCGAGGAAGGTGAGGAGGAGAGGAGGAGGAGGAGGAGAAGAGGGAGGAGGAGGACGCGGAGGAGGAGGAGGCGGAGGAGGAGGAGGACGGGTCGCCTAAGCCCTTCGGGGGAACCCTCCACCCATGAGCAGAAGGCTGCGCAGCGAGGCTGCAAGGGCCCTGGACGCCCACTGGCGCTCGTCGAGCGGAGCGCGGCCGACGGGAGCGGCCAAGGACGGACCGAGGAGGCGAGGATGCAAGGGGCGTACCCTTGGGAAGGCTGCCCGTCCTGGACTCGCCCATCGCTCGGACGTCCATTTTTCCCGTGCACGGTTCGGCTTCGTGCGTGTTTTGTTTGATCGTTGGTCCAGGATGGTCCTCGATGGTTCTCGCCGAGAAAAATCGGCGGTGGACAAACCTCCCTTCAGTAGACCTCCCCTTCGTGAAAGCGGCCTGGGACCGAAACCGACGGACCTGGACCCGCAAGAATGACGGCCGCGGCGCCCCCTCGCGAACCGAAAACGGCCAATTCCTGAATCGACGTGTCAAGGTAGGAGGTCTGTCCACCCCCGAGAAAACTGCACGTTTCCATGTCGAGCAAACCTGCTTCAAAATTCGAATGATTAACTATTCCACTGCCATTAACTGAACTCTCTCAGCTAGAACTGATCCGCGTCGATACAAAAATCGATAACTGGTCACCCACAAGGGCAATAACGGGATGTATAGATAACTTCTCTTTCCTTCAAACGGCAGGCCTCGGCCTGCCCCCCCCCCCCGGTGCGGGGCACCCGCGAGGGCGCCCGCGAGGCGCCCACGGGGCGGGCACCGGGCGGAGCCCGGGAAGGAGCCCGCGGGGGGGCACCGGGCGAAGACCGGGGAATATCAAAGGCATTAGCTCGGGAGAGCAAAAGTACACAGTCGAGGCGTTGACCTATAAGGAATCCTAAGTAAGGAACGAGGCCCCTTTTTCCATAAGTTAGCCTTCGATGTCCCATCGAAGCTGAAGGAAAAAACCTTAGGCAAGGTGTGGAACAATGAAGGAGCACCGAGCCACACACACACACAAATAAATACACAAGGGAGAACAAAAGTAATTGAAGGGGCCCACAAACACACAAATAAATACACACACCAATAAACATATGCCCCATATTTTCCCATACGTTCTGGGTTTTTATCTTCCCCCCACACTTCCCGTACTTTCCCATCTTTTCTGGGACTTGACGATTAATTGTGTCTGTGTGTTTTTTTCCCTCCTGAGTAATGGCATCCCAAGTGCAAGCAGTGCTCGCGTGAGTAGCCTGGCGGAGGACCCAACCGTGTGCGGTTGTGAGTAACACAGTTGTGAGCATCGTCCCCGGTGGAGCTCCCTGTGGGGCCACCAAACGTGTGAGGGGTGTGCCAAAATGGGCGGGGGGGAAGCATGCGAACACGGCCACCGAGGCCTTCGGAGGGGCTCCCTATGGGACCACGAAACGTGTGAGGGGTGTGCCGAAATGCGCTAGGGGGACGAATGCGAGCACCGCCACTGAGCATTCGCCGGATCTCCCAGTGTGGCCACGAAACGTGTGAGGGGTGTACCAGAATGAGCTTGGGGGGACGCATGCGAACACCGACACTGGGGCCTTCGGTGGAGCTCTCCATGGGGCCACGTGACCTGCGAGGGGTGTTCCGAAATGGGCGTGGAGACGCATGTGGCCACGAAGCGTGTGAGGGGTGTACCGAAATGGCGCCTTCGGTGGAGCGCCCTATGGGGCCACGAAGCGTGTGAGGGGTGTGCCGACGTGGGTTTCGGGGGCGCACGTGGCCACTGGCCACTGCCGGGGGAGCTCCCGGTGGGGCCACTGGGCGTGTCAGGTGTGTGCTGCAATGGGTGGGGGGATGCGTGTGGCCACTGCCACACGCGCTCACTGACCTTGCAGTCCCCTCCAGACCGCACAGAAGCCCTTCCACCCGGAAGTTTCGGCAACGGACACGGGCGAGAATCGAAACATGTCCAGGTCCCACAGGGAGGGCCCGGCAATCTCGCACTGCCATGTGGTGCGCGACTATGCAAGGATCTCGCGGCGCCGACGCTGGTTACTGTTCTCATTGTAGTCGCAGCCCCCTTCCAGGCCCGAGGGTGGGGGTAGTGGCAAGGAGACTACAGCGATTCACAAAACAAATGCGGTGCCCACGCCACCCCCGCCATACGCCCGGAATCATGATCTCCAACTTCTGTGACTAAAGCCGGCGCAAGACAACACACACAGTGAAAGCGTGCAGTGAAGCACTCGGAATTAAACGCATGGCGTGCAAACCGCATGATACGAACCAACTGTTTTCGTGCTCGTTGTGGTTCGCGCTTTCAGCATCACACCTTCCAGGAAACCTCCCAACCGATCCCGTCCCATAGGCGAATCCAAAAAGCTGGAAACACACATGGCTGGATTCCCATGTACAACATCTGGAGGCGGCCTGTTGGACACGCATGCGGACGCCAGGCCTACACTTCAATACACGGGCCGAACGCTGAAAAGCATCTGGACGTGAATCCAACTTTCGCTCCGGCCAGCCGCGTCATGAGTATCCAGCTTCCTGGTAAGCTTGAGCTTACGCTCAAGCCATCAAGGGCAGCGCGAAGCTGAATGAGTGGTACTGGCGTGGCCCTCGAATAGCAAATCTTCAGTTGAGGGTGCATTAGTTTTGGCTGCCTGGAGCCCAGCTGTGCGCCACACAGCTCAGAGCGTTGCTTGCCACCAGCGCTCGATGCCACAGCCAGCCTTCCCAACCCCTGCCGAGACCCTCTTCGCAGCAACTTGCCATCCAGCAAGACTTCAAGTTGCCTGTTGTAGGCGCCGTTGGCTGTTGGGCCTCACCGTACGGCGCACTCGAGATGCAGGGCGCCCCCGGAGGGGCCCAAACCGGGCCCAAGACTCCCACGATGCAAGATGGCCTTCCGACGGCCCAGGACAAGTTCAAAGAACACCCCAACACAAGCAAAATCAGGCCCCAGTGCCGAAGACGACAGCGTCGAGATTCCCAAGTCGCAACTAGGAAACCCCTTCCTTGGCCCCGAGAACTCCCAAGACAGCCCCAGAACTAGCAAAACGCCTCCAAAATGCCCCCGAGCTGCTCAAAAGAAGCCCTATACAAAGCCGCAAGTCGGACCCCGAGGTGTACACAAGAGACCCCCAATAAGCAACGCAACAAACATGCATCGCTGCAGCCATGCCATGCTACGGCGTTGCTGCGAAACTTCCACGCGCGCTGTGTCGGATATGCGCGGCAGCACACCGGGATGCTGGAGTAATTAAAGTTGGCGCTGAGCACCAGTCCATTGTGAACGGCCGACCAGGCATTGGGGAGTCACCCCCGTAAGTTATGTGGCAACAGCCGCCGCTACCGCCGAAGCCGTTCCCCCAGAATGTAAGGAATTTCCGGTTATCGCCATCCACATTATTTTTCGGCCAATTCGCAGCAGAACCGCCAACATGCCCATGATAATAATCTGGCGTCCTCCATGTAAGAAAGTCGTTGCTCCACTGGTGATGCGAAGGGCTCGTCAACATATCGCAGTAACTAGCCCCCGTAATCGGCCGGAAGTAATCCGTCACCTGCCCAATTTTGATCCTTATGTACTCTGGGACTGGAGCCGTCGGAAGATTCTGGCAAATCTTACCCCAGTTGTTGGGGGTGAAGCCATCAGCGAATTCGTTGCAATTCTCCTGCCATATTATACCAGGCGTCGGAGACGGCGTAGGCACGACCCGCAGACTCACAGCGCCACAAACAGGACAATTGCCAATACCGAAGTAAGGAATCCCGATGTCGCTTGCAGCTGCCACGCACTCATCTCCAGCCCCGAGGAACGCATATCCAAGGGGACATTGGAAAGTAGCAAAGTCCGGTAAGACGTATGTGGGGAGTTTGCATACTGATAGGCTGCCAAACTCATTTCTCACATAGCACTGCACTCCATGCTCTGGGTTATGGGACACCGAGTGGTTGAGGGTGATTCCAGCTGCGTCGCACTCTGCCGCGGAAGAAATTTCCGAATATCCAGCAGGACATTTGACGCCTCCTAAAGCATATGCAGGCAATCTGCAGATGTGCTTGGCGTTGGGCCGGTTGCTCGCATGGTAGTAGTACCAGTTCTGCATTCCCAGGACAGCCCACTGTGCGCAGTCGCCGCCATAGTCGGTGGTTCCCATATAGCCTATGCTAAACCCCAGCGCACCTGCAGCCTCATCGCACGCCGACGTGTCAGAAATTACCTGACCTTGAGTGCCGCAAGAGGTCGCCGTGTAAAATGCGTCTAGAGTGATTGGGGTATGAAGCCGCCTAAGCTGGGAACCATGCATACGATGGTGAATGGCCAGCACCTGCGTCCCCAGCACTGATAATGCACACAGACATGTGCTGGTTATGAAGAACATGTGCGAGCTGATGTAGGTGAATGTAGTGTAGTGATGGATCTAGTGAAACCCTGACCCCTGAGCCAGGATGCGAACCTCTACGGATGTAAGTACATTTCAGAAGCCCTCTGGGCGTAGGTAGTTAAGGGGTGCTCGTAATCGATGCATGCATCGGGGAGCGTCCAAAGAGGGGGGCGTCAACGAGGGGAATTCGCAAATGATGGCCCGAGGCCCGTGCGCGGCCCAGAGGGGGCCACGAGACGCAGCGAAAGAAGAAGAAAGGGCCATGAGATCTCGGAGATATCTGGGCCCCGCCATGATAGCCCCCCCCCGTGTCAACACCCCCTTTTTGGCCTCCCCCGAATACACCTCCACCGCTCCTGAGGCCTGCCAGTGATCCGGCCCAAGGCGGCCCTGCCGCCAACATGTTGCACTTGTGTCTGAGAGGGGCGGCACTGGCGGGATCATATCCCACCAGCCCTGTAGGGCGTCGGCCGATCAATGAGCTACTCCTTCCAACCTCCCTCCTCCTCTTGGGGGGAGAGGTTCACCTCTCTCACCACACCCTCTCCCTGGGACTGGACAGGGCGTTCCGCGAGGGATTGGAACGTCCAAGATGACCCTAGATGGCACCAGGAAGGCCCCAGATAGCCCAAGATGTCTTCCAAGATCGCACAACATGACTCAATCTAGCTTCCAACATGCCTCCAAGAGGCGCCATGACCGTCCGAAGACAGCTCCAAGTGGCCACGGATCCTCCAGGAGATCCCCCAAGAGTCCCAAATCCATACAACACCTTAAGGCAGACATTGTAAGTCTCGTCCTCCCTGAAGGCCGCAAGATAGCTCCAAGATGGTCCAAGAGAGCCCTAAGAGGGGCCCAGGAGGGGCAAAGACGGCCCCGATAACACCCCAAAGCGTCGCAAAAACGCCCCAAGAGGGCTCCTAGAGCAAACTTCGACGTCCGAGGAGGGGAAGGAACTGGGACCCCCCCCTCTTTGATCAATGGCCTCCAAGATGGCCCCGAAGAGCGCTCCTTCGGCCCACGAGAGGGCCCCAAGGGAGCCCCCGGGGGGCCCCGAGAGGACCCATGGATAGCGCCACAGGCACCCAGGAGTGCCTCAAGATGGCCCAGGCAAGCTGCCGACAGGCTCCCTCTATCGAATACTCGACGACGACACGTACACTCGACTCCTGGATCTGCCCAGGCTGATCCTGCTCTTCGGTTCCACGGCTGCCCCCCCTTCTTTGTTCCACCGCGTGCTCCCACACGTCCCTGGTCAATGCAACTCGCCCGGGCACCTCTCCTAGACGAGCTGGTAGGCATGTGCAGGGCGTCGTGCATCTGTCCGCTGCGCGCCGGCGCACGACCCAGATGAGAAAAGCAACATGACAGCGGGCGCACGCACACTCAGAACACCATGCTGAGCACCCCGCCGCGACTTCCCGGTGTCTGTCTCCCGAGCCTCCTGTGTGTTGGGTCCTCGTTTTTGAATTCGAAGCGCCCCGCGTCTGACTCCCCTCCTGCTCTCCCTCACTCCTCCCTCAACGTTCGCATCCTCGCCTATAACCAGCCCGTCACCACAACCGTCATCATCAACATCATCAGCACCATCATCATCATAATCAACATCGCCATCATGAGCATTCACCACCATCAGCATTAGCATTATCAACAACATCATCACCATCACCATCACAACCAACATTGTCATCATGGCTACCAGCATGACCATCACAATCACAAGCATTATCGCCAACACCAGCATCATAATCACAACCCGCAGCATAAGCAGCAGAATCGATAACATGATGATGATGCTGATGATGATGATGATGATCATAATGATCATCAAACGCATCATCATTAGCATCGGCATCATCATGTTCGTCATCATCGCCAGCAGCAGCATCACCGACATCAGCATCAGCATCAGCATCATCATCATGCCCATCGTCAACAAAGTCATCAGCATCATCAAATTCATCACCAAGACCACCACCACCATCACCATCATAAACAACAACACCAACATCATGATAGGTTGGACCATCTTCACCGTCATCATCATCATCATCATCATCATCATCAGCATCATCATCGCTAACATCCATTCCAGCATTGTCATCCTCATCATCCTCCTCATCATCAGCATCATCAGCATCAGCATCAGCATCGCCACTATCATCAGCATCAGCTTCATCATCATCATCATCATCATCAGCATCAGCATCACCGTCAGCAGCATCATCATTATCGTCGTCATCGTGATTAACACCATCATCATCACCGTCATCATCATAATCATCAACATCAACAGCGTTAGCAGCATCATCAGCAGCAGCATCACCATCATCATCGACACCATGTCCATCGCCAGCCTCATCAACATGATCACCACCATCACCATCTCCATCTCCATCACATCACCGTCACCATGATCATCATCACCATCACCACCATAATAATGATCATCGTCAGCATCATCATCACCATATCACCATGATCATCATCACCAGCACCATCATCATCATCGTGATCATCCTCATCCTCATCCTCATCCTCAGCATCATCATCAGCATCATCACCATCATTAGCATCGTCGTCATCATCATCAGCATCATCAGCATCAGCATCAGCATAATCAGCATCATCAGCGTCAGCATCAGCATCAGCATCAGCATCAGCATCAGCTTCAGCAGCATCAGCATCAGCATCAGCATCAGCAGCAGCATCATCAGCATCAGCACAGCATCAGCATCAGCATCAGCATCAGCATCAGCATCATCATTAGCATCATCATGAGCATCAGCATCAGCATCAGCATCAGTATCAGCATCAGCATCAGCATCAGCATCATCATCAGCATCATCATCATCATCAACATCATCATCCACACGCTTTGTGGCCCCATAGGGAGCTCCACGGAATGCCTCAGTGGCTGCGTCCGCATGGTGACTGGCCCAATTACGGCGTAGCCCTCACGCGTTTCGCGGCCACACAGTGAGCTCCGCGAAGGCCTCAATGGCAGCGTCCGCATGGTGACTGGCCCCATTTCGGAGCACCTATCAGATGTTTCGTGGTTCCAAAGGGAGCTCCGCTGAAGGCCTCGCTGGCTGCGTCTGCATGGCGGCTCGCTCCGTTTCGGCGCACCCCTCACACGTTTCGTGGCCCTATAGGGAGCTCCGCCGAAGGCCTCAGTGGCAGCGTCCGCATGGTGACTGGCCCCATGTTGGCGCACCCCTCACACGTTCCGTGGCCCTATAGGGAGCTCCGCCGAAGGCCCCAATGGCTGCGTCGACATGCAAACTCGGGTTCATGTCGGCGCACCCCTCACACGGTCCGTGGACCTATAGGGCGCTCCACCAAAGGCCTCAGTGGCTGCGTCCGCATGGTGGCTCGCCGAATCTCGTCGCACCCCTTGGACTTTTCGTGGGCCCCATAGGGAGCTCCGCCGAAGGCCCCCATGGCTGCGTCCGTATGATTAGTCCTCCTCCTCCTCCTCCTCCTCCTCCTTCTACCTCCTCCTCCTCGTCCTCCTCCTCCTCCTCCTCCTCCTCCTCCTCCTCATCCTCCCTAATCGTTCCTCAACATACCCTTCTTCCTGCTTCCTCTGTTCTTGCCCTCGTGTTCCGCGCCGCAGGCATCGATAACTTCTGGTGTGTGTGTGTGCCGAGCCTGGTCCGGCGTTCTCCGGCGAAGTGGTCGTGCATCGAGAAGTCCTGTTGACAGTTCCCACGCTTGTAGATTTGGTTGGGCTCTTTGCCAGGGTAATCTACACAGGGGTGGTGCGAATGCCGGAATACTACGGCAGGTTCGTGTGGTGTCGACTCCGGCATTCGCTCCTGACACCGCGGGGATCGTTCAACCTTGAACGATCGGACCTGTCCGAAACGTCCAAACCGTTCCACCTCGAACGATTCTGGGTCGCCTGCGGCGTCCAAAGTTGAGCGCCGCTGGCGAGGTCGCCGCCAGTCGATACGCCACGAACCTGCCGTGCAGTCAACCCGTATGGTAAGGATGCGCGATAAGGATGCAAGGGCCTTGCCCGCCGATTTCGGAGCTTTTCGAGCGGGGCGCGGCCAGCGGGTCTGGCGCGGAGAAGGGGGGCGGGGGGGGCGAAGAGGTCCGAGGGTCATCTTACGCTTAAAATGGCTCCAAGCTGGCCCAAGATACCTCAGGGGGGCCTCCAAGATGGCGCAACATCGCCTCATTTGGACCAACATGGCATTCAATGTGCCTCCCGGGGGTGAGATATCACCAAGACGTCCGGAGGGGGCTTTGAACCCTCCCAAGGATCTCCCTCAGATAACGAAATCAATCAACTGCCTCAGGTCTTCAAGCACCCTGACCTGTCACCCGTTCACATATGATGGGCTGCTGGAAACTCGAAGTGTCCCCTAGATCGCCCGAGAGAGCCTCAAGAGGCCCAGAAGGGCCGCAGGGCAGCACTAAAGGGATCCAGTAGCAGCCCAAGAGCGCCCCATAAGGACATCCAGGCCAAGGGGCCGACAAGCGGCCCCGTAAGCACCCCACCTGTTGCATCGACGGCCTCCCAGATCGTTCCATCAGAGCCCCTGTGGCCCCGAAGAGGGCCCCAAGAGAGGCCCCAAATAGCCCCGAGAGGCGGAATTTCGATGTTTGGCGGCGAGACCCTGGGGGGGAAGTGAGAGAGGGGCGGCCGCGACCCTCAGTCCAAACATGATGACGTCTCCCTTCTGCTTCTGCAGTCTTCCGCCTGTGGACCCGCCGTCGCTGCGCTTCCGACTGGCTACCGCCGAAGGCGGGACGCGACGAGAACAATGCCATTTCTGGAGTTTCACGGGTGTTGCAGGGCTCTGGGCAGGAGTAGGAAGAGGAGGGCGAGGAGGAGGAGGAGGAGGAGAACGGGGAGGAGGAGGAGGAGGAGGAGGAGGAGGAGGAGGAGGAGGAGGAGGAGGAGGAGGAGGGGGAGGGGGAGACACGAGGTGGAGGAGGAGAAGGGGAGGGGAAGGGAAGGAGGAGGGAGAGAAGGAGGAGGAGGAGGCGTGAGGAGGGAGGAAACCAGGAGACAATCCAAAACCATGCGCACGATCTGCACGCTCGGGTCCCAAGCTGGAGGCGCGCACCCTACGCCCGACGCGATCGGTGGCTGGGACCCGAAGCGAGAACAGCGCACGCTGCCGTTCACAGTACCCGTGTTGGCTTCGCAAGCGAATGCGCAGGCCAGACTGGGGGCATTTGCACATCGAGCTGTGGCGGCCGCGGTCCAGGGGGGGATTGGGCGGGGGTCCCCCTGGCTTGCTCGAGATGTCAGTCTTGACTGATATTCCTACTTCGGGTCTTCGTGAGGAGTTTTCTCTTTCTCCTCCTCCTCCTCCTCCCCCCCCTCCTCCCCTGTCCAGTTTCCCACTCCCTCCTCTTCCACGTCCTTCTTCCTCAGATTGCTTCTTTCGTGCTCGTAATATTCCTCTTTACTCGGACAATTCCTTCCTCGCCCCCCCTCCACATCCCCATCTCTACTCCTCTAGTTTCAGCATCATCGCTCGACCTCTTGCCTCGTCCACTTCACCACCTCCCCCCCCCCGTCGTGTCGTATGGTCGGACGGAGCATTTACACCTTGGCGCCCATGCTGCTAGATACCGCGTGCTTCTGCCAGCAGCTAGCGAGTGCTGCACTAAGCTGACCGTCTCCCCGGCGAATCAGAGCGCAATCCAAAAAATCGTCGTGTCCCCACCCCGTCCCCCTCATCCACCACCTTCCCGGGGCAAGCCGCAGGCCCAACGCCGATGAGGCGTCACCACCCCCACCTCTCGACCCCTCATCGCCACTGGCAGCCCCTTGCGGCAAGAACACTGGAACCCACCCGGCCTGCTCTGCACCTGGACGCCCCTCCTTCCCCCGCACCCGCCCCCCGCTGGGCCGTCCGCCGCGCCGTCTCGCACGGCAAAGCTGTCCGCGACCGGCACCCAGTACTCTCCCCTGAGCATCTGGTTCTCGAAGACCAGCCTGGTTGCTCGTACTCCCTCGTGTGTTGCTGTTCTATCTCTCTCTCTCTCTGTCTCTCTCTCTCTCTCTCTCTGTTTGTTGTTTCTCTGTCTCTCTCTCTCCCTCTCTCTCCATTATCTGTTTTCTTCTCTCTCTCTCTCTCTCGTTCTCTCTCTCTCTCTCATTGTCTCTCTCCCCATAGGTCCCTCCAAAATCTCTGTGCTGAATTCTGGAAATATTCTCCAAGGGGCCCCAAGACCAGAGCTTCGGGTGTTCTCGCGTGCTCTTGGGGGCCACCGCGTGGTTGTTCAAGGAGCCGAGCGCGCTTTGTTGGGGGCATGCATGTCCAGCATGGCTTCAAATGGCTCCGAGGACCGTCCTGGAGCCCTCTTTGGCGCCTCGTGGGCCGTCGTGGAGGCCCTGGAGGGCGGCCCCAGAAGCCCAAATCGTCAAACATCTTTGCTCTTGGTACTGTTTTCGCACTGCCGTCTCTAAGATTTTACAGCGTCCAGAACGGCTAAAAAGTGGCGCCCACGATCATCCCAAAACGTTCCAAAAGCCACCCAGGCGGCCCCAATGGGGAGAACACGAACTTACATGTTGAACCCTCCGCCCCAAAATGCCCCCCAACAGGTCTTCAGAGGCGCCAGAATATATATATATATATATATATATATATACATACGTATCTATAAATATCAAAACCAGCCATATGCGCACGCTGAGGTTCTAACCGACTGCGCAGTATCTGTCTGTTGACCCTGCGCTAATCCACGGACCCCAGGGTACCCAGGGAGGGGGGTCCCCAGGCAAGGGCTTTGCCCTCGGCGCGTGGAGGTGCCTGGCCTTTTCTGGGGGATAGCCGATAGCTTCGGGCTCGGTGGACGGTCGTCGCGGCGCCGTGCGAGGATCGACGCGCGACGCGTCGGAGGGCTCCGAGTGCTCCCCAGACTGCGCACGTGGCGCGACTGCACGGGGGGCAAAGGAGGGCCCAGAGGCTCCAGGCTGCCGGGCCGTCGCCGCCGCCGCCGCCCCCGCGGGAGCCTCCTGCGCAGCCGTCGCCGCCGTCGCGATGATCGTCGCGGTGGTCGTCGTAGTGGCCGTGGTGGTGGTGGTGGTGGTGGTGGTGGTGGTGGTGGTGGTGGTGGTGGTGGTGGTGGTGGTGGCGGTGGTGGTGGTGGTGGTGGTGGTGGTGGTGGTGGTCGTCTGTGGACGTGATCGGACGATTGCACGTTCTGGGGCGTGCGCTGCTTTTCTGGGGCCTCCGGGGGCCTCTGGGGGCCTCCGGACTCTGGAGATCCGTGGGGCCTCCAAGGCCTCCAGGGGCCTCTTGGGGCTCTCCTGGAACTCCCAGATGCCCTCAAGAGAGCGCTAGAGGACAGCCTGGGAGGGCCCAGAGGGGCGCCAAGGGAGCTCCCAGAGCGGCCCCAGAGCCCCAAGAATGTTTACACTCACATGCTTAAGACAACGCCGTCCTTGACGAGCAAGCGGTTTGTGTTAATGTTGTTTTAAACTTGGAGCCCTCTTGGGGCCGTCTCGTAGCTCTCCTGGGGCGTCTTGGGCGCCTCTAGGGCCGTCTTGGGCCCTTCTTGAGCCGTCTTGGGACCCGCTTGGCTCGTCTGTGGGCCCTCCTGGGGGCCTCTTGGGCCGTCTTGAGGCGGTCTTGGGGACCTCTTGGGACGTCGTGGAGCGTCGGAAGCGTGAAAGTCGGGAACCCCCTAAACCCATTGCAAAACGAAAAGGAAATCAATGGCTGGGGCGATATATTCACACACACACATATATATATATATATGTATGTATGTATGTATGTATATATATATGTGTGTACGTATATATATATATATATATATACACATATCGCACGTATATACAAATATGTGTGTGTCGCAGTCCATTTATGTGTATCCATCTAGTTCATGTTCTTTGTTTCTCTCCCGCACACACACACACACACACATCGAAGATGCCACGCAGGCGATCTACCAGAGGGGTAGTCTGCAGCAGTTGGACCCCTTGCAAGGCTAAGTAAGTCTCGAACGGCATCAGTTGCCTGGGGAGGCAGCAGCGTGCGAGCACAGCCTGGGACCCCCTGAGCATACACCGTGGCATTCCTACGGGTCAGTCTCTTGCGCAAGGATGCCTCGGGCACTGCGCCTCCCGCCCTGTCCACCCCGAGTCCGCCCAGCTGCTGGGGCCTCGAGACCCTCGGCCTCAGCACGTCCCACAGAAGCCTCACGGCAAACATCTAAATCTCTTTGGCCCTGTCGCGCCGGGACGCACAGTGATTTTGAGACGGCCCAGCCTCGGCAGGATGGCAGAGGTTCGAAGCACCTGCCGAACGAGATTGTTTCAAGGGGCCCAAGGACACACAAATAAATACACACACATAAAATGATTCCCCATATGTTCCTACATTTTCTGGGTTTCTGTCTTCCCCCCCACTGCCCATATTTTCATATATGTCCTTGGGGATCGACGATTAATTGTGTCTGTGTGTTTTTTCCCCTCCTGATTGTTG